TGAATGTTCACCTTTAAATTTTCTGTTCTTCACAGTTCTGCAGCAGTCACACCTTCGTCTTTTTGAGCGGTGGCAGAAATAGAAGTAGAAATGAGGGCTAGAACCTTGAGCTCCCGGCAAATGTAATGGGAGCCTTGGATGCTTGGATTTAGAAGTGCAGATGCCCCCCTTGTGGAGAGATGCTGAATTGCGGGTAGAACCCTCCGTTCTCCAGCCTGGTGCCCTGGCTGGACTTCAGCTCCCTGAATTTCCTAATCAGTATTTCAAACAGAGAATTCTGGGAATTGGGGGTCCAACACATTTGGAGAGAAAATCAAGTACAAAAATACTTGGCAAGGGTAATTAAATACATCAAACTTTCACCTAATCTTACCTAGCTGAATCCTCTTTAACTGGGGTGTAAAGGCTAAGACCCTAGTCCTCATGGTTCTTGTTAAAAGGAATACTGGAAGCATAGTCTTCCTCTGAGTTGAGCCTTGTGCAAGCAAAGATACGGATGGGCAACGAGCTACTTAGAAACGTTGGGGAATTATATTTGGGTTTCTCAACAAGATAAATCCCACATTTGATGAAGTTGGCCTGTGGAGATATTTTACAGGTTTCCACATAGAAGCCCTGCCTTGGCAGGACTCTTCTCTTTCACTTGGAGCGGCATCACAAAGAAGCTGCAGGAAGCTTCAGCTCAGAGAGGCAGTGTTAGAAAGTCTGTTCATATATATAGCACCACACCGAACAAAGTACTGTCACCATGTGCTTTACTGCTCAACCATACAACTGTAACAGGAAACCAGAAACTCTACTTAGAACAAAAGAGCATAGAGTGTATATATACACTCTATATATACATTGGCTGCCCTGGTTTGCTTGACCCAGTCACCTCCCATGTTGGGAAGCACCCCTCCTCTTTGCCTTTTACAGCTGTCCGTGCAGTCTTCTCCAAGAGGGAAACTCCTTCCTTCTCTCACCCCAGTAGCTGGGAAGATAAGGTGAAGGTTCCTGTCGCACATTCGTGCTAGTCGTTTCCGACTCTAGGGGGCGGTGCTCATCTCCATCACAAAGCCGAAGAGCCAGCGCTGTCCGAAGACGCCTCCGTGGTCATGTGGCCGGCATGACTAAATGCCGAAGGAGCACGTAACGCCGTTAAACCTTCCCTCCAAAGTGGTACCTATTTTTCTACTTGCATTTTTTTAAAAATGTGCTTTCAAACTGCTAGATTGGCAGAAGCTGGGACCAGTAACGGGAGCTCACTCCGCCTAGGGATTCGAACCGCCGAACTGCTGACCTTTCTGATCGACAAGCTCAGCGTCTTAGCCGCTGAGCCACCGCGTCCCTTATGGCTAGGAAGATGCACCGAGCCAAAAAAAAAAAAACACCATTCATGGCTTCGTCCCGATGACGGGAATACTGCCCAGCTAGAAAGAGGGAGATTGTGCATTGTGGCATTGTGCGACTCCTCTTTGCAAGCCCCCGATTCTGCCAAGCATCCCCCAGCCTTCCTTTACAATGCAAAACCACAACCCTTCCCAGAAATGTCTCCCCGAAAGCTATTAAGCTTATTTAATTGCAGGGAGAGGGGGAAAAAAAATGCCATCTCAGCTGGGATTCTTAATGTCCTGTGCATTTCTCGTTTTTCCTTGCGTTTATCCCTTCCTCTGATCTCCCCCCAGCGATAACTTTGGAGTGCCTTTCCTCTCCCTTTCCCTCTGGTGATGGTACCGACTCGGTCTGTAATGGTTTGTCTTGGGAATATAAACTTATCTGTCTCGCGCTGGCTGGCAGGATGAAAAAGGACACCTTATTTCTTTCTCAGATGAAAAAACAAAAACAAAACAGAAACAAACATCATTTCCAGGACCAATCTACAGCTTCAAGCTTCAGTGTCATCAGAAGATCTCTTGCTAATGTCCCCAAAATAAAAGCTGGACCCTTGCCCAGCCCCAGGGAAGTTGGGGAAGGGTCTAAGAGTCACCGGGAAATTTTTGTTTTTTTGTTTTGTTTGGAGATTGAAAAGGGTTTACATATTGGAAACTAAACAAGGAGAAACGAAACCAGAGATTTCCTAGGACAGTTAAACCGGTGGAACAGTTCGCCTTCAGAAGGTGTGGGTGCTTCATCCCTGGAAGTTTTTAAGGAAAGACTGGACAGCCACCTGTTTGAAATGGTCTAGGCCAGGTTCTTCTGCTTGAGCAGGGGGTTGGACTAGAAGACCTCCAAGGCCCCTTCCAGCTCTATCTTGATTGGGCAAATGGGAGCAGCATTTGCCAGGCCCAAGTCGGGCAGGGCTGAGGTTGCTTTCTCCAATCTAGGAAGGTTGTTGATTTATTTCTGGTTTGTTGGCCTTGTTCTTAGATTGATTGCTGTTTTTCTTCCCGGCTGGGTGGCTCAGCTAACTTGGCTGAAATTATCCCACTCAATGCTTTCCCGGGTTTGTTTATTTATTTTTTTCCTCCATCCAGCATAGGTTTGGCTGCTGATGCTTTTCGGAAGGATCTTTGATCACCGGGGACAATAATGCCCCTGTGTTTGTGTGTGTGTGTGTGTGTGTGTTTAATGTGCACCAGGGATCATTAAGAGAAGGCAATCAGGGGTTTTTTTTTGTGGGGGGAGGGAATGAGACATGATGCAGAAAAACCCCGGGGAAGGGAAAAGGAGTATAATAGCTGTTTCTCCCCTTTTGCAGTAAGATTTGCGTTCCAAGCAGTGGAAGGAGAATTAGAAACAAGTGCAGGAAATGTGAGGGATCAGGTGCTATTGCAGTTAGTTTGAAACTGCCTTTTTGCAGCTGGGAACTTCTGCCAGCCAGGGGCTGCCCCCCCACCCCCACCCCAAATATTATGTCTCTGATCAATCATCCTGCCAACCAGGGGCTGCCCCATCTCCTCATGTTTTGTCTCCAGCCGACCCAACAATCCTGCGCCTGCTGGCTTAGAAGCTCTGCCTTGGCTTTGGAAGTCCCAGGTTGCAGGAAGCTTCCAGCTGTAGCCACAGTCTACCTCTGAATGAGTAGCATTTAGTCCTGGGTAGCCCAAGGACCAGGCCAAGAGGGTGTAATTGCAGGGAGGGCATTTCAGCAGGAACGGGACCGCCAGAAGGGAGATGCTTCCCCCATTGCGGCTACTATAAGCTGTGAACCGTTGTTTTTTTTCGTCCCGCAGAGCCACCCTCTGTCGAGTGCCGAGGGCAGCCGGACTCTGGAGTTATTGGGAGAAGCCCTCTCTGTGCCTCCTTGGCTAGCCTGTGTCCTCTTCACCCATCTTTCTTCTGTCCCTAATTCAAAAATGGACAACGTGCGGTCCTGAGATCCTGGGTGAGTGGGGATAGATTTATGCCAGCTGTTTTATTTGTAGCTCAGGGTTGACACGAGGCGTCCTTGGTGCTCTCTTGAGCTTTCTTGTTTCCTTGCAGACGTTTCATGGCCCCAACTAGGTAACACCATCAGTGCTAGCCCTGGTTATATTAACCTAGTTTGGATCACAAAACCTCTACATGAAAACAACCAAGCTCCTACAGCACCAAGGACCCCTGGGCTGTATTATTATTATTATTATTATTATTATTATTATTATTATTATTATTATTATTATTATTATTATTATCATCATCATCATCATCATCTCCTCTTGGCTGCTTTATAACCTCTCTCTGCTACCTTTTGGCCCCACATAACTTCTGCTGCTCTCCTCTGCTGTCCCACCTGTGCCAACTCCCTTGGGGTGCCCTGCCCTGCCTTCTCCAGCGCCCGCAGGTGAGATGCAGTGCCGATCTGGGAGGAAATGCCTTGTCATGCACATGATTCAAAGGAGGCCCCTAATTTTGCTCACAAGCGAAGCTGGATTGGGGTGGGGGGGGGAAGAGGGAGGGTTTAGGGGACATCGTGGCTCCCATCTCCCCAGCCCTTGTTGCAATACCCAGATCTTTTCTACGCAACCCCCTCCTCCCTATCAACGCATCCGAGCATGTGGTCACTGGCCTGGCATATCTGCATGGGAAGCTGTGATTTCCCCCCCACCTGCCCCCCCCCCTTCCGGCTGACCGGGTTCCCCGGGTTGGGGGGGGGGGCCCCCGCCGATCAGGCAGGCCCCAGGGGGGGGGGGGGGCAAGTAATTTGTGGTTGCAACGGGGCAGCCCAAATCCCTGCATTTCCCACTCCCCTCTTAGGGGAGGAGGAAGTTGGGTGGAATTTCTCCCAAGGTGGGCAGCCTGCATTGCTATCCTTTCTCGGTGCTCCCTTCGGTCCCAAGGGAAGTGGATCCCTCTGGAGGGATCCCCCAGGGGGCTGGGGCAGAGGGGAGGGGGGAATCCTGCCTTCCAGACCCGTTTTTTTTGGGGGGGTGTCTTCCCCCACCACAAGCAAGGGATGGGAGGAAAAACAATCCTCCCGTTTCTCTCCAAACAGACCTGATGGGGAATTGGGGCAAGTTTTAACCACGGCTGGTCTTCTTCCCCTCCAACTCAACTCTGGCCTTGGGGGGTGGGGTGGGGGGGCAAAGCATCTTTCCCGTCCCAGCCTGCCGGGCACCCTCCAGGACTACAACTCTCCAAAATAGTCGGCTCTGATGGGAAGCGGAGTCCTTCCAACCCGGCGGGCGCCCGGTTGCAAAAGGAGAGCCGATTTTCCGTCTCGCTGCTCTCCCTCCCCCCACTCCTTTTTAAAAACTCCTTTTTGCCCCCCCCCCTTCCCCTGGCGTGGTCTCGCCCTCCCCTCGCCCCTCCGATACTGTACAGCACCCGGATTGTACCATCCTGCCTCCCTGCCAAGGGGGGGAAGAGCAGGGGGGGAACCTGCATACATCCGCGCCCGAAGCGAGTGCCGGCGCTGTCCAAGGTGGGGAAGAAGCGAGGGGGGCGGGCGGGGAGGGGAGGCAAAAAAAACCCAAATCGCTGCTGCTGCTTCTCCTTACCCCGTTTTCCCCCCACCCCCCACCAAGTGATGGTAGCAGCCTGGCTTTCGCAAGCACCAAGCTGCCCAGGCGGAGTATAAAGGGCGGGCAGAGGCGCGGATGGGACTCGGCAAGCTCAGCAAGCGCTGCTTCAGCGGTGTCTCCGGGGAAGGGGAAGATCGCCGGCCCACCTGCCCGGCAAGAGGAGCCGCTTCCTCCGACCGACTTTCTCCCGGAGAGGTAGCCGCTGTGACCCAGGTCTCTCTTGCCCGCCGAGCTGCTCTGCAGACGCGGGAGAAGGTGGCGGGCGCCTTTTCGGTGCCAGCTGCCAAGCATGGCGCACGTTGGAAGAAGGGCTGCCTTGTTGGCGGCAGGGGGGGGGAGAGATCCCTGATGGTGCCCAGGGGGTGAATGTTGGTTTGGAGAGGTTGAGGGTATCCTGGTTACCACTGTGCGTGCGTGAGAGGTCTTCCCCTAGGGTTTTTTTGGGGGGTGGGAGAGAGGCTTGGTTATCTAGAGGAGCCAGACTGGAGGGGTTTTTTTGGGGGGTGGGATGGGGGTCTCCGTTTTGGAGATGCAGGCTGAAGGTTGCTGCTTCCTTTTTTTGCTGCTAGCCAGGAGGACGTGCTCTTCAAACTTGTGGTGGGAGGTGGAGGAGTGGGGGGCATAAAAGAACTCAACTTGGTGGTAGTTGTGGTCTTTGCGGTAGCTCCTGAATTCCTCAAAGTGGTTTTGTGTGTGTGTTTATCTGGCAAAGCACCACTTTTGGAGAGACCGTCCCAGCAGGATCAATGGTTTTTTTTTTAGAATATTACTATTCTTAAGTTGTTCCTAATTTGTCTGGTCGGGAGAAATCCATTTTGATCTTCGTGTATATGCACGAAATTCAAAATTGTGCAGAAATGGACAAATTAACTTTGGCATTAAAAAAATAAAGACACCTCAATATACTACAACAGCTGGAACTGCTGGTACAAATGGATAGACCAAAGATAGACTTCACACTAAAAGGCAAAAGAGGATAGGATAAATCCATAGTAGTGATACACAGATATATGTAAGGATTAGGTGTGTGTGTATATGGCATAAATTAAGGATAAAAAAAAAAGAGGTCTTACAAACTGTTGAAGATGAGAATGTTTTTAATCGTTTTCTATTTTTTCTTTCTATTTTCTTCTCCCTTTTTCTCTCTCTCTTTTTTTTCCATTGGTGTATGTGTTGTCGGTTTGTTTTAATTGTAAAATCAATAAAATTTATTTATTTAAAAAAAAAGAATATTATAGAAGAACAGAGTCAGGAGGGACCTTTGGAGGTCTTGTAGTCCAACCCGCCCGCCCCCTGGTCAAGCAGGAAACCCTACACCGCTCCAGACATAAGGGTTAGCCAATTTTCGCCGAGGAAGTGATGCCCAGCAGTTCTCCCCCCACCTTCCCAGTTCAGTAGAGTTCCCATTCCAAAAGTCTTCGTGGTCAGACTCCGAAACCTGTGTATTTTGGCAAGGGGTGGGAAAAGGAATGAGAAATGGTTGAAGAAAGAGGAAGGGGCTGCCATCACCTTGAAGAGCAACCCTTGAGCCCTTCTTCACGCCCCTAGATTCAAATTCTCACCCTGGAATGCTTCAAGGGAAGGGGCCTCCTAACTTGTCCCGTCGGAATAGAGCTGGAAGGGACCTTGGAGGTCATCTAGCCCAACCCCTTGCTCAAGCAGGAGCGCCTGTACCATTTCACACCAGTGCCCGTGTCCGGTCTCTTCTTAATGCATTAGGGTTGCATGCATCCCCAACGCAAAGATTCTGCGGAAGGAAGCCGAACCCCAGGTGAAGTGGGGTTGTGGGATGAGCTGGGATTGTCGCCTCTTTGTTCGGCTTCTGTGGTGGGGCTGGCTAATTCGGACCTTCCCAGTTTGCGGCAGCTTCATCCGTGTGCTGTCCATCCAGCAGACAAAAGGGTGGATTTAGACATTGGGATCACCAAGGCGGTTGGCCGAGATCCTTGAGTCTCTAGCTGGAGATCTTAGGGCAGAAGTTGGATAGGACCCCTGCTAGAAGGAATTAGCCAAGCAGGGAAAAATGGGGATGCTTTCTCCTTGCATAAGAGCTCAAGGACCTGTTTTAGGGCTTTAGGATTTCCCCGTTGTCCAGTGAAATCCTGGCATTACTCTCTCTGTGTGTGTGAGGGGGGAGGCAGAGAAAGAGGGGGTGGGGAGACCAAGACCTGTGTAGCAGGTGGTGATTGTGGTAACACTTGGAACTAAGTTTGGCTGCTGAAGGAGGCAGAGGGAGGCGAAAAGGGAATGGCGCTGGTTTGAAGGCTGCATCGTGGGCTTTTAGCGGTGGCTTTGGAAGATGTCATGGGAAATCTTGAAGACTCTTGACTTGTGGGTGGACTGTACCAAACTGGAGGTCCTCCTGGTAGAAAATGTGTTTTAGAATTCTACAGTTGGGATTTGGGAAAGGAAAGGATGAAAGGAAGGAAAGGAAAGGAAAGGAAAGGAAAGGAAAGGAAAGGAAAGGAAAGGAAAGGAAAGGAAAGGAGGAAGGGAAGGG